CAATTCAATTAATAAATATATAGATAACTACGCATGATTTTTTTTCGTCTCTCAATCATCGTGGTTCTTCTTCTTCTTGAAAATGTTTCTTTCTTGACTCCATATACACACATATATATATATATATATATAATACGCCCGTGATGCGTAATTATTGTAGCCATATCAGCAATATCACGAAGAAGGAAAGCCCTGTATTGGAGATTAAAGAGGCTCACCTTCATATATTTCTCCCATTTTTTCGTTTACGATAAAATTTGTGTGGTATACAACAGATTTTTTGGAAATCTCACCGCACAAATCAAATCTCCCTTTGCAGCAGGGGACACACTTTCTCTTCTCCTCTGTCCATCACCACAGATAGACCGTTGCATGGAAGTTCGACCAAAGAGAAAGGAGCAGGCAAATATCCACAATATTTAACAGTGTTGATTACTAAACTTTCCCGACGATGTCCTGGCGTCCACCTTCATAACTTTTGGTGAGCATCCACTGGAGTCTGTGCGCACAAGATAATAGCTGAAAGACTAAGAACGAAAACCTCGCCGTCAATTTCGGACAACAGATTCGTACAGACACTGCATCATCCGTCTATATACATCTCCTTCCTCGACGATCCCTGAGTAGCATCGGACCATCTGATTTAACTGTATTCTTATATATCTTATAAAGAACGTAATGTTCAAACGTATACTTGCGAGAAAGCTCAATCAGTCCAATATACGAAAACATATTAAATTAAACGTATCTTTATAGTCTGTCTTGTGTCAAAAAATAAAAAATACTGTCAAAAAAAAAGTTTATATGAAAATTATGCATTAGGATCATAAAATTATAATAAAAATTAATAAATTTTAGTAATAGATGTTCAATATAATAATATCCTAGCGGAATCTCGAGTAAATAAATCCACGAAACAAGAAATTAATAAGGACTTACAGTTTCCTATGTATTATTTATCAGCGTCACATCATATGATAAGAATCTCAGTTATTACAATATTTGATACCGAAACAATCATTATTACAAGTTGTTATAATTGTAAGTATATAAAATCATTTTGTAAATATTACTTCGAAACAATTTTTTAGTAATAATTATTATATGTAAGAAAAGTTATATGAAAAAATGATTGCAGTCGGTAAAGCAGACTTCGGTTGATCAAACATTCTTGCTAAAGAGAGAAATTGCATGTACCATAGACCCATACAGCAAACTTGATACCAATAGAGAATGACTTTACCATCCTCGTCGGTAAAGGAGATTTCCCAACTTATGATGGAATAATACCATGCAAGAAACGATAGGAGACTTACAATTTCAAGAGAAAGGCAAAAAAAAGCTTGAACCATCCGAACTTTTGCTAATCCTTTTATATATCTCACTTTAGCAGTTTTTTGTATAAAAAAAAAAGCCTTGAATTCAGTCTCTATTAATATTTTTTTCAAATTTAATTTATTTTTAATTAAAACTTTTAATTTTTCAAATAAATTTTAAATTCAAATAATAGATTAATTATAAAACAGAAACCGCAAAATTTATGTATTTTATTAATTCATTTAAAATCTTTCGTTTAAAAAAATTATTTGCTATTGATTTTTCGTCTTTTTAATATTTAACATTAAATACTAATAAAATATGATATAACTGGGATTAGTCACTTGCTATTCGAAACATTAGAAGGTCGTGTTTATCATCACATTATAGTATAGCAGGATATACAAGCAGGACGCTTTCAGTTGTCGGTTGACATCGTAACGGTTCGCAAGATTAAAGTGGTTCTATTACTTTTATTATAATTCAGGTAATACATTAACAAGAAAATAAAATCTTATTGCAAAAAATAGTAAATACACATTCGATTTAATGCGTGTATTCTCAAGAAAATTAAAAAAACGTAATAATTTTTCTCGAATGGAACAATTTTCTTCCGAATAATTTACAGGTGGATATACATCGCGTATTCTAAGATTCTTTTGTCAATAACGTTGCCTCTGATCAAAAAATGTCGCGCAAGTGTTTCATCACGCGATTTAGAGAAAAATCTTGTAAATCTGCAAAGTGTTGGTTGAGAATTCCATGATTTCAATATAACTACGAACGTCCGTTTTTTCTATTTTAAACAATTTAAACGGGATACATGCAAAATGCTGACGTGAACAAAAAATAGAAGTAGAATGTCAATGATCAGAGGTCGTTTTAATGTGATGATTAATCTCATTCTTGTAAATATTACATGCCTATTCTAATTATGATATATATCGACAGTCGATCATCTCTTCACTACAAAGAGAAACACTGAGGACAACGCCAAGCAAAAATGGCACTGACGTTAGCGCTACCCTTATTCGGACTAGACCCAGAGCATTTTTCTGCCCTCAGCATGAAGCTTCTTAATATTGAACGTGAACAAAATATGAGAAATTTGTCCGATTCTGGGCGAACTTCTCCAAGTACCGGAAGCGAATCTAGTGGCATCAGCAGTCTCGCAACATCTGCCGAATCGGCGTCAGTTGAATTAACGCCGATTTCATCAAGACCAGAGACACCTACTAGAGTTCCGTCCAAAAGCCAGGAAAAGGTAAACATTACGAGCACATGGTTGCGAACAATTCGGAACTCAACATAAAAATGAATTCTAGGAATGTCACATCGAGAGAAAAAGAAAAAGTATAAGGGAAAAATACGAGAGAAAAAAGAGAGAAAGATCTCGAAGGAATTATTTTCTTAAAAACTACACGGAAAAAAATGTTGCATGCACTGAAAAAAATGATAGGTTGCTGCAATAATTTAGATAGTAAAATATGGCATAGCATTTTTATATGGCTGCAATTAGTTTTTGGTTGTAGCAGCAAATTTTTCGTTGCGTTAGCCTATCAAAATCATATACTGAGATTGCAGATAGGCTAACACAACTAAAACTTTGCTATATCTTACTATTTCAATTTAAATACAATAATTAACAAGATATTAATTACCAAAAATTGCTGAATAGTCTTCAATAATTTTTTACTTAAATACCAACTTTACAGAAAAGCAGCAACAAACAAGAATTGTTTATTTTCTTCTCCTAAAGCTGCACCATATAAAAATGCTATGCCATATTTTACTATCTAAATTGTTGCAGCAATCCATCTTTTTTTCAGTCCTATTTTCTTCTCATAGAGCTCTAAGAATTTTTTCAAAATTTTTTTATCAATTTTTTAGAACTGAATTTTCTTATATATTGATAACTATTTTTAACCAACATGAGAAAAAAATATGTATTAAAAAATTTTCAGAACTTTATGAAAACAAAATAAACAATTCTTGTCTGTTGCTGCTTTTCTGTAAAGTTGATAGTATTTGAGTAAAAAATTATTGAATATTAGATTCAGCAATTTTTAATAATTAATATCTTGTTAATTATTGCGAAAATGATAGAGGACTTTTCGAGGACTCAGTTTAGTCTGTTCTATTTACACACGAGCGCTTTGTCAAAACTTACCGGACTTTGTAAAATATGTTTATATATATAACATTTTTTCGTATTTAGCAAAAAAATAATATATTTATAGCCTTTTATAGAATTATTGTCGGTATAGAAAATTTATTAATAAAAATCGTATAAGAGCTAAATGAGTCAAGCACGTTGTCTATGCAAAAAAAATACATTGTTACAAATAACAAAAATCTTTCAAACGTTTCTCAATGGAATCAATGGATACATACGAATGGATACTTACGAATATGTTCTTATATTCTTTCGTATGTTACGTGTCGTTAGATTAATATAAAAACTTAACTCACAAATACTTTATGCACAGAACGCATTCAGTATGGTGATTTCTATCAAATCAAGTCAATTATTGACTTAGAATTTTGAGAATTGCTGGACAACAAGAACGTTTACAACTGTTTCAACAGATTGTTAAACATATTCGGAATCTAACAACAATCTGTTACAATAAGTTTTTATGTTAATCTAATGACGCGTAATAGACGAAAAAACACATATAAGTTACGTATCCACTGAAGACGATTCCGTTGAGAACCGAAACGTTTGGAAGATTTATAATAATATATTTTTTTGCACAGACAACGTACTTAGCTCAGCCTTTATAATTTTATTGAATTTATTATAGATGATATTTATTAGTTTGCTGAACCTTTAAAGTTTTTTAATTTTAATAAAAAAATAATTTTATTTGAATACAGCATTGTGTTTATAATCTTAACAATCAAACATAAATATGCATCTAGGTAAAAATAAATATTTTCTTTCAGACTGTTCGCGTAGTATACGGAGGTCGTGATATATTGAATTTAGGAGCGAACATCAGGCCATCATTTGACTGGCAAATGAGAGATCGAACATTGTCCCGACATAACATTCAAGATTTTATAACTAATCGTCTGGTGTATCATCGATTGCGTGAGCAGCCGCTTACCAAAGATTATCTAACGGTGTGTATATAACATTTTATAATAAAAAATCACGACAATATTTTATAACCTATACTGAAATGAAAATATAATTAATTTTTAAATATGCATAACATGAAATATAATCTATAATTCATATATAAATTAATAAATTTTGAATTAAAATTTTCAGTTATATTAGAGCTCCGATGATTAAAATTTTTATCTTACAGAAACGTTGCAACGAATGTGAGTTTTGCGAACCGTCATCTATCTTCTGATATCGACTTAACCATAACAAAACGATTAACGACAACAAGTCCTGCGTACAACGTCATGGATAACTGAACTGTGATAGACCGGATAAGCGGCAGCCGGATGGAGACGTACCGTAAATCGAGGAACGTATGGAGATATGAATCTAATATTTAAGTAACCCGAAATACAACATAAACCATGAATATTGAAATAATTGAAATATTCACGTAAATTATTAATTGGTTTAATTTATTATTAGTGAATTAATCTAGAAAGAAATATTTAAAATCTAAATTAAAAGGTATACGTTCCCTTGCCGGATACGGGCTGCAGTAGTTATTAGTTCTCTTACTTGTGATATCGTAACATGAGGTAATATTACATAAACTAATGAGTTTTGTATCAGAATAAAAATAATCGGGAGTCATTTAATGTCTCTGTTGTCTAAATTTTAGACACTATATATATATGATTTTATAATTTTTATGATACGGTGCGAAATAAACTCTCTCTCTCTGCTAAAGTTAATATATTTCATTTTACGATGTCACTTTTTTTTTCAATTATATAGTGCGTATGTATTTAATTCGGACGAATGACGATCTCGCATATAAGAATATCTTACAAAACTGTCCGAGCATAAAATATCGTGTGACTTCATCGAACGATCGAATAATATTAATTTTTTTATACACGATATGACACAAGATCTGTAACAGATTGAACATTTAACTACAGATTGAACAAAAAAGACCGCAAGTTTATAACTCGCAGTCATGTGTACGGAAAGTTGCATGTCGCTTAAAAACTTTTCTTTATTGTATGTATTCTTTACACAAATTTATTAATTTCAAGATATATCATTATCCTATTGTCAAGATCGTCATTATCATCGACGATCATTATTTCATTTTTGCAACAATCATAAACAAATGCCGTTGCGCTTCGTAGAGCATCGTTAGCGAATGACGTACCGATAGATGTATCGCGTTTCATGTATTCATTTCAGTATTCATGAACGATCGGCAATTTCTTAAAACAGCCGAAAATCAATCCTTACATTTTCGCGGTAAATGTAGTACCTGCTCGTAGGATATAAATACGTATTTCTACGACGGCATTGCATACATATATATATATATCTTGACCATTGTTTATAAATGCATGATAAACAATATTTTATATACCTCAATGGTGCATTATTAATTATACTTTTATATTCAATAAATCATATAAAACATTCGCGAGGAATACAGAAATAACTTAGATATGTAAATCTTCTTTCTCTGTTACATTTTAATCCATTTTACGCTGCAAATGCTTTGAAGCATTCTTTGAATGATCATCAATTCTTGGTAAAATTCTTTCTTCTGATTAGTCAACAAAACATTTGTAGCGTTATAAGCAGGCATCCTTATATATTCTGCAACTCTTTATTTATAAAAAGAGAGGGAACAACTCTATCCCAAAGTTAAAAATTCCTCGATAATATCGCCGCCTGCAACATCAGCGGACTTAGAAACAATGATCCTTGAGCCAAGCCGAAGATGAACGCTTGGCGATTAGCGCGTAAATTCGCGCGAAAGGCATTAGTGCCGTTTCATGAGCCGCACAAGGGGGTTGATCGCTCGGACCCTCGTGCTTCTGCATTGTTTCAGCTCGAGCGTAACACCCGGCGTGGCGCTGTGTGGCCAGTTCGATCCACAATCCCGCCTGAAACACTCATACCCCTAACGAGACAAACCATACTCGCCGCAATACACGCCCATTTCTCTGATCCTCACCGACGTACACAATGCATGTGCACGCATTCAGAAAAAATTGCTAAAAAGAAAGAGAAATACTTTATAAAAAAAAAAAAGAAACTTGTATAAATATAGCAATCTCTCAAATACAACAGCATTTTTTCCCAATTCTCTGCGATGCATGGGATTATTTTAAACACGAGCGTAATGTGTCCATTATTTATAATAATAATTAGATGCTAATATGTATTCAATTATTTCTCATTCAATGATCAAAATTAAGAATAATGTATACTGTTGGCCGATTTTTCACCTTTGGGTCTCGATATTTGCTAAATCCATCACTGGTATGTGCGTTTATATGTATATCGCTTGCATGTATTCCACGGGGTGTGCGGGAACCTTTCAGACTGCACGCGTGCGTGTACATCGACGTACGTGCGCGCGTGAAAGCGCCCCGTCCGTGCGTGCACGCGCGGATGCGTGGGTGCGTGCAACGCGCGAGAGATGCGCAGGACGACTATTCAGATATTGTTGTTATTGTTGAGGGAACAATCGCCCGTCAATAGGCCGCCTCGGCACAATGTATCTATTCAGGTGCGGTCAGCGGTGCTCAATCGATCAGGATCCGCCCTTTGCGAGTGCCAAAAAAGCACTGCTGAGACCGGCAAAAGATCGTCGTTAGTTTCGCGATGCGCATCGCGAAATTCTTCACACGAACTATTCACATTCTTAACTTAAGTTTACCTATGCATGAAGAAAGTAGATGTGCTTATTTTTTTCATGCTTTAGCAAACCAAACGAGAGCGAGATTCTTAAGAGATTTGCGTTTCTATTTACAAAAAATATGTTTTGTGATACAAAATATGTTTAATATCTTGACATATAATTATAAAAAGCAAAAAATAAAATTATCAAATTCATTTAAATTTTATATTTACAGATAATTTCAACAAAGTTTAATTTGAACAAAGTTGTATAAATCGATACATATTTTGGATGTAAAGTGTGAATAATATTTTTATGTTAATCATTTTTATCGAAAATCAATATTTTACTTTGAATAATTACTGCATTAGAGGATAGGTTAACTGAATAGTTGAGTTGAGAATGTATATGTGTATATAATGCGACTGGCCCGGTGCGAGATCATTAAAAGACTTAGAATACTCTTGATCATGATTTGAATTGGTATCGAACCGTGAAATGAATCCCAACCTACGATGAATCATATCAGCATTTGAGATCTCATAATATCGACGTCTAAATATTATTCCAATAATATTAATCCTGAATTTCTTTAACTGAATTTCTTACGCATATTGTATTTCTTTTCATAAAAAGACATTTTTCATCGTAACTTTAGATAATTTTAATTTGTATATATCCCACATTCCAATATATTCCCTAAGATCCAAGTACTCTAAAAATAGATCTTAAGCTATACATGATTGCCGATTGTACTTCTTACTCCAATGCGATGACCGCTGATTAAACACATCATACGATTGAAAAGCGAATTGCACGGACGAAGATGTGAATCACCTATGACTCTCAACTACTATTCAATAAGCCACAGTTTAAGCCGACAAACAGACCGCCTTGTCACGGTAATATTCTATTGGCTCGAGCATCGAAGCCCTCAAAAGAGATTCAATTGGAGAAAAAGAGACCGTGGTGAGAGCCACTGCCGCGAGCGAGGGTACCAGAGTTCCGCGGCTATAGCGATGATTACGTATGCGGGAATCATTGTCGAGTAACGCGCGATGCACATGCAAAGGCCAAAAATCGTCGAAATCAGTCGAGTTCAACATCAGCATTGTACCTGGGCTTTGTCTCTGGCTCATTGTTGTTGGTCGGTACTCTCTTCCCCCTTCTCTCTCTCTCTCTCTCTCTCTCTCTCTCTCTCTCTCTCTCTCTCTCTCTCTCT